CAAGTTTCCTTTAAAGAGAACCCAATGTTTATCTCTTTGACAAATGTTGCATGGATCACCCTAAAGTTAAGACAAATGTCTGACTCTTGGTTCATGCGCTCCATTACGACGAAGCGTTGCAAAATCACGCAAAACCTGTCCTCGATCCATTGCTCCCACCGTTTGAGCATTCCATCTCTAATATACTTGAAATAGCCGCGCTTGGTCTTAGGCAATGTAAAATCATCCATTGGTGCTTACTTATTTTTTGTGTTTTTGCAGCACTGCAAAATCTGAAGTGGTGGTTTTGGTATGAATGGAGATGAAAGGTTACCGGCTGTTTTGGTATGATGGGAAAAAGTAAGATAACTTGTGGTTTTATATTTTGTTAAGTGTGCTTTTGGGCTATGATAGCACTGATTGGTTGGGGTTCAACAAGCATTAACACCTTTTATGCTGTTTTGTTCAAGTATGCGTGGCCCTTTAAATTGATGCGACCCTTGGTAGACCTCATCACGTGGGCTTGCCGGGATTCATTTTCCCATTAAATTGCTTTGTTGACATTAAGTCCAAATTGCCCTCATATATAAATATAAAACTTGAAATCGGGTTGCAAATGGAACCCTAAGCTCCGCAGCTCCTCCTCGACACGAAGACAAACTTGAAATCTTAGGTGAGATTTAATTTCGTTGAATTTCGCTGAATTTTGGTTCATTTTTTAAGACAAACTAATTGGACACAAGTGGTATCGGAGACTTTGCTAGTGTCCAGTTTCTAGGTTAAATTCTACGTATTGGTGTCTGATTTGAACCTGTGTTTTTCGCCTTTTGGCCATTGTCTGTGAGTGCTTTTTGTTTTCATTTCGAACAATGATGGTAAATTTGTTGACACTATTAATTATTGAATGTTGTCTTTCTTAATTTGTTTTCATTGTTGTAGCTTAATTTGTCCAGTTATCTGTTATTTTGGTTTGGTTAGTGCGTTTGGTATAGCTTTTCAGGATCCTGGTAAATGCGGTTTCAACAAGTTATTCATAATTGTGCTTTTTTTTGGATGTACTCTTGTGGTTCTGATTTTTTTCAAATAAACTGTTAATTGGTTTGCATAGTTTACTTGTATATTTTCACGATGGGATCTAGATTGGAACGAGCTGCTGTGTTGGATTCTCATCTTATTTAGTTCTCTGTTTTCTAAACCACTCCATTGGACAAAGCCCTTCTCATAAGATATGAAGCTTTTTAGATACAAGAACAATGGCACTGTTATGTTTCTATAATTGCTGTGGTAATTAATTTAGTACAACTTTGTGCGTCATAGGCAACATTTTGTGTTTGCCGTACAGTCCAAATGAATAAGGTCAGAGTATAGATCTTTATTTCTGATATGCTAATTTGAATGTGTTTTTCTTAGGTGTTATGTAATGGCTGACGAGTGGACAAGATTTTTTAAGATCATTCTTGAGACACAAATGAGTTCCCTGGTACGAGGGTCTTTCTAAATAATAGCATAATATGTTATGTTAATTATTTTCCTGGTTTTGTTGGTGTACGTTATATTAATCTATATTTTAAACTTCATATACTTAGTCTCTCCCTCCTGCAATTTCGGAACATTATGGGTCCGAGCTTCCACAAAAATGTATAATCCAGACTTTAGAAGGACGTGAGTATGAAGTAACTCTGAAAATGGTGGATAATCAGCCGACCTTGGTCGAAGGATGGGATGCTTACATTCAGGCAGAATACATTGAAATACATTACATTCTGTTTTTCAAGAGAATCAATAATTTCCATTTCGAAATTATGGTGACGGACAAAACTGGTTGTGAAAGAACACCGATATACCACTTTTGTTTGGACATAAAAAAATCGCACATTGACCGGGCATGCTTCGTAAGTAAACACTGCTTAAATCGTTATTTTTTCAAATGAATACTATTTCATATATATTTCCCATACGCTGAACTGAACTGACAAAAATGCAGCCAATTCCAATACGTTTTTGGAGAGACCACATCGAGGGAAACTTTAACAACTACACTAAGGCTGTCATCATGTTCAATGAGAAGGTTTATAAAGTTGATGTAATTCATGGTAATGGCAAGAGATTGTTGCAAAACGGAGGTGCTCGACAGTTTGTGATTGATAGTGGCATATTGGTTGGTTCTTCATGCATGTTCACCCACGTAGGACCACTCAACCCGGATAAAGTGATCAAGTTCAGGGTTAGGAGTGGTTAGTAGCAGGGATCAAATTTAGTCCATGACAAACTTATGTTCTTTTTTGTAATTCACCTGGATGGTGATTGAAATTATAATATCTGTTTTAATGAATTGTAAGCTACTAGATACATGGTCCTTTTGTTCGGTTGGTAGCCTAACTTTGGTAACTATATTTTCTAGTGTCTTGTGTGTTGATTTGGAATCTTCTGATATTTGTTGTGACTTCATTCACTTTCATGCGGGTTTGAAAAAATAAACTCAATTGACATTGAATTATAGAATATCTGAGAAATATCTTAAACATTAAGATGGTTGTCGGTTGCCTTTCCAAGTTAACCTGTCTGTTCATTATATTGCACTTTTACTTATTTTGCTGATTCCAGTTTTTATAACAAATCATGAACATGTGACTCATATTAAGCAGTGGTATTTGTTGGATACGAACACGCATTTATGAATGTCAACTCATAGACAGACGTGTACAAGTACCTTGTCAAAAATAGCTTCCATAATCAACAACAAGACTTTTTTTTCCCAAACGACAAACAGACAAATATTATTGCTCAAACCAAAGTCTTAACTAACGAGATCGAAGTAGGCACAAAGCACCATTAACCAACACCATGTCAGTCTATGCTACATGAGGAAATCAGATTATAAATCCCCTTGGAACGCCATTGTGGCAAAAGAAAGTGAAATTGTACAAGTAGCAGGTTTCTTCAAAATATATACTATAGCTCTTTCCACAAAACACACCCACAGTATATGCCTCCACTGAAACTATAAAATAAGTACTTGAAAGAATCACACAACTGCAGATTACCCTCTTCAATGAAAGCCCTACCTCCCAACCCCTATCTTCAATTGATCCTTTACCAACTAAACCCACACTCCTTATTTCCCAGGCAATCCCAAGAAACCCCCAACAGCTACCAACACAACTTACCTCTATGACAAAGAAAAATCACACAAAATTTCACACACAACTTCACAACTTCACACTCAATCGCCTTCTTCCTCAATTGGACTCTAAATTAATATACTCAAACCAGCATCTCCAAAGGAATGTTTTGATCTTACTCTGAAAGGGAAGCTACCAAGTTACCTTCCACATGTTCAAGATTTCCTTATGATTGCCACAATCACCCGTACTGACCTCAGAATAACTTCAGTGCTTATTGATGGTGTTGTAGACTTCTTTGACAGAGAAAATGCCTGACCTGCACCAATCCCACACCAGATTATGTCTCAAGCTCACAGGATTCAGAAGAATGCGCTTAAGTCTTTGAACACCAAACCCCCCCATCCTTGGGTCTATCTAACTTAACAATAATGAATTAGATCACAACATCATGGACAAAAAATCACAAAACTTAATACAACGGATTAAATCATCATGGACAACATCACAACGGATTCCAGGTTGATGTCATCATAAATGGATTAGTTTACAAAACTTAAAACAGTACAGACATATCAGGGATTGATCAACTGGCCATTAACAACAAAACACGAAGCAACACACATTCATCAACCCTATTCAGGCATGTCATCAAACATGTAATGTGCTTGATAAGGACAAACAAAAAATAAAAGAAACGTCCGTCAACAAATTCACCTACTGAAATCAGATCAAATATTTTTCCAAAAGCATTGAATAAAGGGAATTGTATAACAAAATCACCAGAAAATATTCGAGATAATGACGGGAATTTACAATCATATATCAAACAACGTTGCTTGTCTTTACATTCGGAGTACAAAATCACTATGACACAAACGCATTTAAAAAATACCTAGATGCGTCGACCGCGCCTCATAAACATTTGATTGGATCTGTACCAATTTTTTACGTATGGTTCGTGAATCGTTCGAACAATTGTGTATGCTGGAAGTATAGTTCTGGGATTTTGATGAGAAAGTGAATAAATTTATGGGAAGTCGATGAAGATGAGGTTGTCGTAGAACAAACGAAGAACAGGAATAATTAGAAGAACAATAAGATTTTTTTTTTTTAATTCGTATGATGATCAGATGATAAATAATACAAAAGTTGAGGATGTAATGATATGTTATTGTAATTGTAGGATTGTTAGACAAATAAGCTAAATAAATGTCCTTCAAAATAAATACAATTAAGATTTTATAATTAATTTATGTTTAAATTAAAAGTAAGGGTATAATTGGTTTTTTACCATGTACGAGGTGTACGAGCCATGTACGAGGCAATTCATGTACGAGGCAAATTCTTTTTTGCCTCGTACATTGAATATGTGGTTGATATTCAATCTTGAAACAATCTAATGGTTAATAAGGGGGGTATCTGATGTTATGCACGTATGAGGGGTACCTGACCCTAGAAGATCCCGAGTATGAATGACTATTCATACTCAAATACCTATTTGCATAATCCTAAATACTCTTCCCTCAAGAGTCAAGAAAGAATTAGAATCGAAATCGAACGGCTACACTGAACTACCTAACATCCTTATTTTTTTTAAGCGTGAACAACCTACTTGTGTGTTTCACAACATGTTTTGTTCATCACTTGAGGTACGTCTATTTTGTCTGACTTTTTGTGTAATTTGTCTTTGAGTTTTTCCATTTATATTCTGGTGATATGACGTGATGGTGTGATATTGTCCCCATAGCTAAGTTTGGTCGGTTTCCTTTGGTTGCAATTATGGTGGAAAAGATAATTACTGGTGTGTCACAAAAAATATTTACTTTCACCTTAATTTGATGGTCTTTATGTGTTTATGTACTTTATTTTGCTTTTGGCATCAATCAGGTTGCAAGTATGTTGTTCCAAGAGTGCTTTAACTTTTTCAAGAGATCCATAAGGTGTGATTCTTCTTCTTCTTCTTCTTCTTCTTCTTCTTTTTCTTCTCCGGATGTTGTTAAAAAGGAATCATGTCAATTGATTTTTGGTTATGAAGTTGGGCTCCATAAAGAAACCAAGTTTTGCACTATCGATGTAAAATCCAAAAGAATCCGCACGGTCACTGGTATACGAGGCAAGGTTATTCCTAAAGAGAGTGCAAGCAACAAGGTAATTGTGAGTGATCAAGAAGATTCAATGGAAGTTGGTAATAGCTGCAACGGGTTAATCCTGATACTTTATTCCAAAAAACACCTTCTTTTCGACCCTCTATCAAACAAAATAGTGGCGGGAACTCGCAGACTGCCTGAATGGGGTGGCAGGTGTTGTGGGCTTTTCTACCATCCTCTGGCTAAAGAATACCGCCTTCTCCTAGTGAAGGAAATAGGCGACTTTCGTAAAGAATACCACATTTACGAATTCGGGTCCCAGAAGTGGAGGACAACTCTGAGTCCCTACTTTGCTTATCGGCCCGTCACCTGCGCGCCAACGGTCACTAAAAAAGTCATGTGTTGGTTTGATCCTCTGAGTCCGTACACTTCCGTTCTGGTTTTCGACATAAATACTGAGAATCTATGCTCGGAGGCACTTCCCCCCACGGCTCAAAATCTTTGTGTGCCGAAACTTGTGGCCAAAGGAGGTGAGGACTTGTGTTGTTGCTACGTGCGCTATGCGGAGACTGTAGTGGACGTTTGGGTTCTTGTGGACTACACGGATTGGTTATGGGAAAGAAAGTATGCAGTATGCCGTGAATTTCGATTGGGAAAAGAATCGGTGCCCCTCGGAAGCATGGAGCGCCCATGCTCCTCTTGTAACGCGTGTCACGAAAGTTGTGAGCATTCAAGATAATCTTTTGGTGTTAGGTTTCGGTGGTGGAGAACTGCGTTGCTATGATTTGGCGTCTAGTGCGTCTTGGATAGTCGACACAAGCAAATTTGATGGGAAAAAGAGAACAACTTGGTATGGTAGGCGTGTGGACAAGGATGAAAGGTGGTATGGTTTGGTTGGCTTATAGCCATAAGGAATAATACGGTTTTGCTATGAAGCCAACCTTTTATATACAACAAATAAACCTACTATATTAATAAAATTATATTTGTGTTATTTAAGTAATCAGATAACATGGTAGGTTTATTTGTTGTATGTAGAAGGTTGACTCCACTATGGAGCCAACTGTTGGCTTCATAGCAAAACCGGGGAATAATAAACATAATCAAACTTCTCTTATCTACTTCTTAATGTTAATTGTCGTCGTTGTTCCGTTTGTTTTCTTTTCATTTGCCTTTTTTTCTTTTTTCATATAGCTATACAATATTAATGTCTAGTCTTTGTTTCAGTAACTAGCTAGAAAACAAAAATCATGCAAAAATTGGCTAATAATTAACATCCCGAGGTGTATCCATAAGCTTTGACTTGCCTGAATTACTAGTATTTAGTCCTTGTAATGCATGATTGCATTACTGCGGTAAAGTTTATAAATTACATATGTCAATGACACAAAAATACAGTTTGTCATGCATTTATTAAATTAAATGAGAGATTACTATTTGTTCAACCTAGAAGATTATGGATATCATGACCTAGAAGATTATGGATATCATGAAAGACATACTTTCTTACCCTTTGCATCCTGTTTGGAAAAAAATAAAACAAACGACAAGATGTTTGCCATGTTTATATAGATTAGGAGTTAAAGTCTGAGTAGTCAGTTAGCTGTAGCATCTATTTTGTTGTTTCAAGAATCACAGCAGTGCACAAAATATTGCTTTTAAAGTAATTATGATTTGCATCATCGACCGATACTGTTCTATTGACTTGTGATCTATGTTCAGCGTACTAACTGTTTCTAAAGAAAGATTTGCATCATTGTTTATAGTTTTTTTAGCCGAGTCGATCGAAAGATCTAACTCGGGTCGTTTTAAGAAGGTTGTTTAGAGCTTCAGTTACTAACTAGATGTCAAAAACAAAAAAACCAAACACAAAGTCCTAAAACATTCTAGCAAGACTGGTTTTGGGTTGATTTTGAACTAATTTTAACTATGAAATTAAAAGTGATTACCTAAAGATAGCAAGCATTAATTAAATTGTCTAAATTTTATCTAAGTCCGAAGTTGTTGATATGTGATTTGTATCAACGTTAACTAAAAATTAAATATGGATTAAGAAAATGAAACTATGAGATAATGAAGAATTTTCTATTAAGAATGTCAAATTTGAACTTGGGAGAGGTCGGCTTCTGGGAACTCAGAAGTCGGACCCTAAGATTTTGTTATTTTTTAATCACGAATAATCATAGTTTATTACAATGAATAGAGAGAGAATTCATGAGCAATTAACGGGATTTTCAACTGTAAATGAAACCTAGGACTATTTATAGCTAAATATTTTCGGCTATTATTCATCTACTATTCATCAGGTCACGTCGTACAGTAAACCGGAATGAAAGGCATTAAATGAGGTATAGCTGGCCCTAAATGATGATTAATAGCCATTAAATGCTGATTGACAAGCCTTTAATGAGGACATGCTACCCTACGAGTCTTCAGTCGTAGGTCTGCAGGGTTGGCGGGAGCGTCCCATCGGTCATCATTAACTCGCAAGTGGCATCATTTTATTTCTTCCCAACTCTGAGTGCGTTCCGGGGTCTGACCTCAGGTATCTGAGGTCGGATTTTATCCTTTCCTTATTCGTTTTTCTCCGTCTTCCGCCCCTCACTGGTCCATGTTTGTGAGGCCAGTCTTGTTGGTGTTGTGCTGGGAGGCCGACCTGAGCGCTTTGGTCATAGTCTTACCTTGTTCAGTTTCTGTAAACTTTCAGGCTCAGACGGCCCGACGCTCGAGCGCCGGCCTGAGCGTCGGGTCTAGGGGAGCTGACCTAAAAACCTGCTCTCGAGGATATTTTTATCATTGCTAAACCTCTTTATTCGGGATGTTTAAGTTTTGGGCCAATACTTTTCAACTCGGATGTCAACATACAGACCGCCGAGTTCAGGTGGAAGGTGTAACACATTCCTTTAGAGGTCGTCCTTTTTAGAGATGAAATTCGAGTTGACTGGGGTCCGACCTTGATTGGTCTGGCAACTTGGTTTTAATTGTAACTCAGTACAAATGGATCTACTTTTTCGAAACCCAATCTGCGCGCAAAACGTTGCATTCTCTCGACTTAGTGCTAGTGAGTTAGTTAGCTTCCTCTCAACGCTCTTTTTGGCATTCTACGGCTTCACCGAGAAACCCGTTGTGCTCGACTTACGTTCTCTCAACGGTGATTACTGACATAATTCTACGGCCTCACAGAGCAACTTGTTGTTCTCGGCTTGCGTTCTCTCAATGCTAATTACATGCATACTACGGCCCCACCGAGCAACTTGTTGTTCTCGGCTTGCGTTCTCTCAATGCTAATTACATGCATACTGCGGCCTCACTGAGCAACCCATTGTGCTCGGCTTTCGTTCTCTCGACACTAATTATTGGCATTCTACGGCCTGACCGAGCAACTCGTTGTGCTCGGCTTGGGTTCTCTCAACGCTAATTACTGGCATACTTTGACCTCACCGAGCAACTCGTTGTGCTCGGCTTGCGTTCTTTTTTTTTTTTCTCTAACCCAGAATTCTGACATATAGGCCCCGGGCTCGAATAGGGGGTTGTAACCTTCCTTTTAAGCCCATCATATATTCAATTCAATACATTCATATTTCAAATTTATTTATCTTCATATTTCAAATTAGATTTGTAACCAGCTTATTTGATCCATTGAGTTCAAAGAAAACATAAAACCCCCACTTACTACATCTTAATTTCTAAAATGGGCACTTCTTAGCTAAAAAAACAGAAAAATAAAGCTAAAAAGTATAGTATTAGCCGATGTCAAATNACCCCCACAAAATAAGCAGTAGTAAACTAGCAGCTGAGGATCAAATTTTTCCCTTATTTTTTTCATTGACAGATCGATAAGATGGGGCCCACAACCAGCACGCGTGCTCGTTTCTTTTAAAGCGATTCTCGAGGTCCCATGAAACTGCTGAGGGTCGGGAGACAAATATCAACCCGCACTCGGGCGCCCAATGCCGAGCAACCCGCGGACCCCACTGAGTCAGAAGCCGCTTCAACCTTCACATCGTACAAATCCTCGAATATATGAAGCATCATAACATCCCTATCCAAACCAAAACCATCCAAACCCGTGAGGCTCTTGAACCTCTCGACTTCCCGAGCCTCCATGCATGTAATCGATATTCGGGCTGCTGATGAATGCAATGTTGCTGATAGTATCCCCCAGAAAGCACATGAAGCTCGGGAGGAAAGAGATCGGCGGACGAGCTAGGGATAGGCTGTGGGGCCCATTTGGGTCGGACTATGGATGTACTCAAGTAAATGGGGCTGCCATTAACCTAATATAACATCTGTAGCCGAAAGTAGTGCAAACAGCCATTTTTTCAGGAGCCGAAACCAACTAGAAATTAAATCAACAAATTGACATTTATTTTATTTGAGACACTATATAAGTGGGTGAGATTAGTGAATTGTTGATTCTAGCTAGAGTTGGGTCAAGATGAAACAATCCTATTAGATTTACAAACGAGGCCTTAATGAATTTATTGTTTTATTATTATTTTTTTTTTCCAATCGAATAAACATTCACTCCATTGAAACATGAAAATACAGAGTGCCTCTCCAACCAAGAAGTTGGGAGCCTTTGGGTTTACAGAGTCCCAAGGTGAAGAAAGCAAAAATACAACCAAAACCCAAAAGTCCCAACAGCATAATAATAATAATAAAATTNTTAAACAGGCAAACCAAAAACTTACTAAACAGCAATGTACTCGGCGATGAAGAAAACAAAACCTGCTTAAGCAAAACCTGAGACAAAACAAATTCTTCATCAAAACCAAGTCATCAATTCCTTAATTAATGTCCAAATTAAAGAAGACTTAGGTGCAGACAGAAATTCCCTCAGTACTTGACATGTTGCTCTGGACCGTAAAATTGATCCAGCAACCTAGGGTTATGGCGAAGAGCAACCACGACGCCACAACACCCCCAAACAGGTCCCAAGCAAATCTGGTGGACCAATTGAGAGAGGCCTTCAATTTCCTAGCTCTCTCTTTGGCGTGAGATATAGCCTCCGTCCCCGGGTCATCCACAGCACCGCGCCAATTGGGCATTGTTGCGTGCAGAGCGGCGTCCGCGGCTCCCAGAGCAGCGTTGTATTCATTCTGAGCATTTTCAGCCTTTTGCTGCGCTTGGTCGGCCTTTTCCCGAAGACTTCTGAGAGCGGCATTACTCAGCTCACCACTGGCACTAGCGCCAAGGGCGACGGCGGCTGCAGCCTCATAAAGAGCTTCACTGTCATCAGCAGCGGCGGTTGCATTCCTAGCTGCGGCGGCCTTAGTGATAGCCAGCTCAATGGCAGCGGCCTTGGCAGTATCCTCCGCGGCGGGGCCCACAACGTCTGCGGTGGGGCTTGGGTCCGGGCAGCCGGTTACAAACGAGTAGCACCTATTTGCGCTTACTTGTAAATTCTTTGTGTCCTTGTCGATTTTGTATGCCCTCCACTCCATGTGGGTAACCAGCCTTTTTGTTGCTAAAATCACCATCAATAAGAGTAGAAGATAAGTTAGTGAGACGAGAGATGTTATGATGTAGCCGTGAACCTTGTTGTGCAGATAGTAGCCGATAAAGAGACCGCCGGCCATCATTGTTATGCAGACGGAGCTGCTCTGCACAAAGAAGGCCACAAACTCTTGGTACTTGCCCAGGAGTTGTGTCTGCCTCTCCATGAGTGCCTCCCTCTCTCTCTCTATGGCGTCTAGCGCCGTGGTAAGGTGTTGTCTGATGGTGGTCTGCGGCGGCAGCGGGGGTTGGGGCTCCAAACTCAGAAGTGGCATAGTGCTTCGTTTTTCTCTTTTCTTTTTTCTTTTTTATTTTTTTTCTAAGAGAGAAGGTTTGAAGAGATAAAAGTTACTAGTTAGAATGATTTGGGATATTATTTATAGGAAATTTCTACTATTATATTCAATCAAAATCTACCACATCATCATTTTATGAATAGACCAGCTGTATACTAAATTGTGATACATCTTTCACCAAAACATAACTATAAAACATATATTGTTTAAAATTCTAAATTTAGTCAATATACCCCTCACCCTATATATTAATTCTAACGTGCTAAGCCTAAGTGGCAGGCTCAGCAACCCTAGTCGCCATCTTTGTATTGTATGACTAATATTAAAATTTTCACCAAAACATAAACTAATGGTTTCAAGTACAAAAATTAAATCTCCAAATCGTATGACTAATATTAAAATTTTAAACAATATATGTTTTATAGCTATATATAACATGGAAAAAAATAGCTATATATAACACCATAAATGAATTGTCCTTATCAAAATAGACCACCTAGGAGAATAGCAGCCTCAGTTAAGGTAAAAATTTTCCCGGTTTATGTACCAAAAAAAGAAAAAAATATCCCGGTGAAGATTTTAATGGCGTGCCTTTTAAAAATTTCGCAATCGAGAGAATCACAGCCTAAGAAAATCCTTGTCAAATTGCAACCTATACTATGCAACCTATATCTGATTTGAAGGGTTTGACTATGTTTCATAACTTTGGACAGAAAATAAAGTATATGGAAAAAAGAGAAGATTTTTATGTACAAAAGGGAAGTGTACAACTCATTTTTGTTTTCTTTACATAACTATAAAACATATATTGTTTAAAATTTTAAATTTGGTCAATATCCCCCTACCCTTATATATTAATTCTAACGTGCTGAGCCTAAGTGGCAGACTCGCATACTTTAGAATCTTATGTGGCAAAATTATATGTTTTGTTATTAGGTTTGGGTAAATTTTAATTTACTTCCAATCCAGAAATAATTAAGCTCGGATTATCCATAAATATGTTGATTAATTATGGTAATGTTATATGTATTAATTGCATTTTAATATCATCTCTTATTATGACCATTGAATTGTAAATGTATTTTAAAAGTTAATAATTTTTGTATTATTTATTAGTTTTACATATATAATATATCAAATTAATTATCTCTTGATGAGCTTCGATATAACATCCATATTGTATGTATAAAAAATTAATTATATTTATCTTTATAATAATAATATAAATGTTTTTTAATATTAGTTAAAAAAATAAAATTATTTATCAATTAATATATTCAAGTAGTTATATGATATAAGTTATAAAAATTACTACAATGTAACACATGTAAGTCGTGATATATATCCAAGCTGGGCCAAGATAAAAAAACCAAGGCCCTTGACCGGCCCGATTAAAATCCAAGCTGGGCCCGGGCCTGGATCCTTGGTCAACAGGCTTGTCCGAGCCGGGTGGCCCGTCGCCACCTCTACTTTGTTATACTGTGAGTCGTGATATATATATATAAGAGTGGTTCAAATAAAAATTAAGTCTCAGTTTAAAAAATGTGAGAATGTTATTTTTTATTATATTCAATGCTAGTTTCATTTTTGTTATTTTCTGTTTTGCAATTTTTTTTTTTTAAACATCAAATATATAATAGTACCTATATAAATGATAGACACCATATAATAAATGTGTAACAATAATATCAACTATGTATGTACTCTGATGAACTAAATATGCACCACGTATGAACTAAATGTGCATTTTGCATGAACAAAATGTGTAGTGAAAATATGCAATTAAATGTCCATTTTATATAATTAATTTAAATATAATAATTATTATTTTTGTTATACAATTAATGGAAATTGCAATTGATTAATATGATTCGGTGATGTAAACAAATAAATGGCTATGACTGGACCTCAAATGAACTAAATATGCATCACGATTAACTTAATATGCATTATTTATTACCTAAATATGCATAATGGATGAAGTAAACATGCATTATGTATTAAAGTAATTATATAATAAAATATAAAAAAATATATTGACGGGTTTAAATTAATATGTATGGTAAATATGCACTTGATATGAACTAAATATCTATGCTAAATATACATTTTTTATGCATCAAATATGCATTGTGAATTAAGTAAATTTGTACTAAAAATATGCATTTAATATAAGCTAAATATGCATTTGGTATGAACTGAATATGTATTTTTTATAAACAAAATGTGTAACAATAATATCAACTAAGTATGCATTATTTATTAACTAAATTTGCACTTAGTATAAACTAATTTGCATTTGTATGAACTAAATATGTTTTATGTACATTCGCAGAAAGATTATGTGCTCTGCCAAAAGGGAAAATAAAAATATGGATTGTATATGAAGTAAATTTTCACTAGAAATATGCAGTTGATATGAACTAAATATACATTTGGTATGAACTGAATATGTATATTTAATAAACTAAATGTGTAACAATAATACCAACAAATTATGCATTGCTTATGAACTAAACTAGTTTTTAACCCGTGCATTTGCACGGAAAGCAATATAATAGAACAAAAAATAATAAAAAGATATAAACAATAGTAAAAACCATAATATAATCATTGGAAAAATGTTCTAAGAAAGAATAATTAAATATTGTTAAACAATTCTTTATATACAACGTTTGTGGATTTTCTATCAACAGAATTTCCATCACTACAAATCACACTATCTTCAAATTAAGACATATAATGGTTTTATTTTTTTAAATAATTATTGTATTTTGTACTATAGATCATATAAGAAATTTATAAAAAAAAAATAAATTAAAAAAATACCAGCAAAATATTACAAAATAAATAATTGTATTTGGTTGATAAATAATTATATGTGCCAAATAATTAAGACATTTGAACAAAATGGCAATTTTTGGGTCATAAAGAAATACATTGATTGAATGATAAAAGAAGCCCAAATTAGAAGTCCACCTAATTTTTAGGTTAGCCAAAGTCAAATATAAAACATGTCAATAATAACATTACTATAAATAGAGATAAACTCCTTAAGAGTGATATAAGCTAATTTTTTTTTCTTGATGTCTGCGCTTCTCTCGTTATTCACTCTATCTGAAACTCTAATCCTTAACCCGATCTTACGACAAACTCGGCGAGATTCAATACAAAACAAATGTTTTACCGGAGATTTTCTCCCGGTAAAGGCTTATTAAATTTTAAAAAAAAACATTCGAGAAACGTTGTTTTTGTGGCCAACAGTAGTGATCGAAAAATAAATATTTGTCTTGATTTCTTAATCTGTGTTGCTAAATCTTAACAGGTCGGTCAAAATCGGGCGATAATATTACAAATCTATGAAGAGCTGAAATAACTGTTTCTTCATAAAATAATCAGCATAATTAATTTTATATTTTGGTAGATTTTTCTAAAATTACAATTTTATCATGGTTCGTTAGGTAAAAATGACGAATGTGATATCATCGATATCACCAGTACTATCCGAGTAGAAAATACTGTTACAAATTTTTTGATATAAAATATAAAAAATAAAAAATTAGATGAACAATATTCATCAAGTCTTAACCTCTCATTAAGATAAGAATAAGACTATCAATTTCAAGCTTACATTTTTTTAAGTTAATACTTAACATCTCTTCTTATTTTTTATTTTGTTTTTTTATTGACCAATACTTTTCCTAGATTTTGCTCGGTATTATAGGTACAAATTCAGAATAAATTGATATTATCTTAACTTAGTGTTATGTGTGTATTTATTATTTATATCGGACCAATAATCTGTACTACCGCAATATGATACAATATCCAAATGATTAAAATATACTAGAAAATGTTAAGGGTTATAATTAGGCTAAAAGAAAAAATTACAGAAAAAATTTGGCAAGGAAAGAAAATTGAGGACAATTAACACGCAAAAGAAATAATGTTTAGCATACTAAAAAGCTTATGCCACTCACCAAGAAGGCAAGAACTCTCAAAAACTCTAAATCTATATATAATCATTTTATAAAAATTAAACCGATCTATTTTTTGTATATATAGCAGATGAAATCCTTCGCTAATATTTGTTATAAAGACTAATTTAACGAAAAGATCAACAATTTATAAAAAGAAAGAAACTACACATAAAAAATAAATGAAAAATCAAAATCAAAACGTTCAAGACTCGTTGCATGTAAGAAAAATAAATATTAAATGAAGAGCTCCTTGTCCAGCACATTAAAAGCTTGCAGGAGAAGCCAACATCACATGATCATAACACATAGTCTTAACTCTTAAGTCTCTATTTTGTCCACTGGATTTGAAGCATCTCTCTCCCTATTGGTTTGGCTAGCTGGTAGGAAGACTTTGCTTGTCCGAGTTGAGAATATGAACTTGCTGTTGATTCCTTATTGACTGCTTTATGCTATAAATGGAAGTGATAATTAATTTTGTAATGTATGAAATTGTAGCAGCATGCTTTCAAGGTTTTTTTTTTCAACCTTGTTCTCATTCCATTTTGAGGTGGTCAGTAAGCTGAGTTGCATGAAAAAAGCAGTAATAACAGTTGTATTTTTTGAATGGTTTGTCATTTTCAATTATTGTTTTTGTTTGAATATCTCTGAACCTCAATTGATTTTTATGTGTGCAAACTGCAAAACTACAAAAAGCTTTATGGAAGGTAAAACAAATAGTTTACAATTTTGAAATTAAAAAAGTGTCTTAGATTCCAAGTGGTGGGATTCCATATTACATTTTGTTATGTCAATTGCCAATATAATATAGCAAATGGTATGACGGAACTTATTGCTTGAAATATTTTATAGTTAGATTTCACTTGCACACTCTTTCTTTTTTAATTAGCTATTAACGACTTTATATTTTTTTCCCACAATACTGTAGGAATATTTCAATATTATATATTGGTGATGAATTGAATTTCTCGAGATATTCAAAAATATTGTGAGAAATTAAAT